ATACTCTTTTAATTCGTAAGAAAAAATAATTTTTTTTTTTTAAAATTTCTTGGACACTGTGCGTGACTTCAGATTTTGGCCTTGGACCCCGAAAAAGGGTTAAAAAAAAAAAATTTTTTTTTTTTTTCCCCACGAAATGGTAGAGATCTTTTTGAAGGGAATAAAACAAAAAGTAAAGAAAATTTTATGGAAAAATTTACGAAATTAGCTCTCGCGATTTTTTATGTCAGGGTATTTTCGCATTTGGCGTTTTTGCCAACTTTGACTCCATTTTAGGGCCCAATTATATTACTCTAGTTGACCAAATCTTGCTTTTTCACATATTACTTCTATTCTATCGACTGAGCACAAAAATACCAATCAACTTTTCAACAAAATAAAGGATCGGAAAATTTGGGAATTTGGGCCAATTTTAAAGCAAAGTTCAAAATATTCTAAAAACAAAAAGAGTCCAAATAAACAATGAGGCATTCCTGGAACAAACTAAAATTTCCTCGTTCATTAGTTAATTTCAGGCTTTACAAATGAATTCCTTTTTTTTTTTATTCACAAAAGAATTTTTATTCAAACCAAAAAAAAGAAGATTTACTGTTATGCAATACTTAATAAGTATAAATATTATCACCACTTTTGTGAACTTAAAATTAGCTCCACCAGCTGGGTGTATTTGACGTGTGGGATCATTTGTTTACTCTTTAAAATCGGCAAAAATTTAACATTCTGCTATTGGGCCGTTTTAACCCCCTTTTCCCTTACTAAAACCCAAACAAATACCCATTTTAGACAGCCTACGTCGCGCAGACAGCCCCCCCGCTGCTGCCACTTAGTTCTATTTTTTGCCATTGGTGCTGCCACCAGAGGCCCTTTCCCTTGTTGCCCAGACTTGCCTCACCCTCACTCCCCAAAAGCGGCCTACACAAGACACAAGGCCCCCCAGCTCTCTCTCGTGGGAGGCCCCGCCCGGGCCTGGGCACAAACCACAAGCCTGTGTACCCCCCGACTTAACAATAAAAAGGGGAAAAACCCCGAAAAAGACTCTATTTATTTAACCACCCTTGCAGCACCTACCAAACAACCGTTTTTAAAATGGTACCCGGTGGTCACAGCAGTGTGTTTGCCCAAAGCAAGGAAGGGAAAAAGGGGGTAAGTCATCTTCACTTCATCATCCCCCCCAAAGGGGCATCCCTTTTCAAATTTCCTGATGTCTTCTGCCGTTTGAGCATCAAAACAGGGAAAGCAGGGTCCCGGCCGAAAATTTTCCGAAATTCTCCCAAATTGTTTAAATGGGACACAGTGACCCCACGCTCATTGACTCCACGCTACGTGTCCCCCGCTGTTTTAAAATCACGTGTTCAGCGTCACTTTATGTTTTGTTGTTCAGCCGACAGCCGTTTCAGCAAGCCAGGGTGGTTTTGTGGTGATTTTTGCGTCCCCGTGTATTCTCTAGTTTTGTGGGTGGGGGGGGAGAGGAAAGGGAAAGGGGGGTGTTCCTCACCTTGCCCTGCTCACCCTACTCACGCTCACCCTCTACCATACACCCCCACCACTGCCCACCCCCCTGCTGTGTTTTCTGCTTTTTTTCCCTTAATTCTTTTGCCCGAGCTTTTGTTTTCCCAGTGCCCGAGGCCACTCAAGCTACGTGGGCCAGCATGCCACGTAGATTCAGACACCACGTGGATCGCGAGCCATGGGTTTGGGGGGATGTCATGGACTACCACCACGTGGGTTTCCAGATGCCCAAGGCCTCAGCTGTGGTCTGCGCCCGCATCACATTGACGTCACCCCCCATGCTTTCCGATTCAAACGTCACAGTTTGCGTCACCTCACATGTTGCCTGACGTCACCTCGAGATGTCTGCTGACGTCACGTCCTGTGCCTTCACCTCGCCATCACCCTGACTTTTAATGATTCACCTCGAGGTTCATAATTATTTCAGTATTGCGAGAAGATCAGAAAGATTATTGTGTGTTAATTAATTCCTTCGGGCAGTGTTTCACATTTTTGTATGTCTTAGGGGCAGTTTTTTGACAGAAAAAACTCATTTGCTAGTTTAAGCCATGTTTTACCGCGGTGTGTGTAAAGTTTCCGTGTGTCCCCGTGGGTCTGGGGGCCAACCCGAGTACACCCCCTTGTAAGTCACCCCGGGGGTTTACCCGTGTGTTTGACACTGATTACCACCCTGAGCATATGAGCCCCCTTGTACAGAAAACTTTTTTGCTCTCGCTGTGGTTCTGCAAATCGTACCTGCTACGATTTCCCTCGAGATTTGTTTTACTTCACCTCCAGACCTTTAGAGTGCAGTTATAAGTAGAGAAACAAGTCTGGGGACGCTTTGACTAACCCCCCTGCTATAACTCCAACTCCGAGAGATGACACCTGTGTCAGCCTCGTGTCACAAGCTTTAGTGAGCACCTGCACAAAGAAATTCACTTTGCTCTCTCTCTCCTGCAGTCGGTGTAAGATGTTACACTCCCCGATTTTCGCCATGTTTGCCCCAAATCGCTCCACAACTCGCTCCACGCTCGCCGGCATGACAGCCCGCGACAGTACCAGTCGAGAAGTGTCCCCTGAGTCGCTTGCCCGAAATCCTGCCCTTCCAGGTTTTTTTTTGACGCCTCACTGAGGGGACCCGCAGTCGTGCCCCAGGTTGAGTGAAAACCTGCAGCGACTCCTACGATGTCTGCTTCACCGTTCCAGAGGAGACCGTAACCTGTTACCTCACAGCTCAGCCGCAGCGATGTCTCCTGTGTTGCAGTATCTGTCCAGATGCAGGAAGGCGTGCAGTGATGCCCTTCGATGCTCATTGCCTATGACCACAATGTTTAGCACACCCCACATGTTTTTTTCTTCCCTCCCTGTAGGAAGTTTTTTTTCCATGTCCATATGTTATATATATGTTTTTATTTTGTGTTCTGTGCCCTGTTCCTACAGAGAGAGAGCCGAGTTTCTTTTACTACCAGTATTGTCGCGTCGGGACGACGCGCGGTAGGTGGCCGAGCGTATGTAGACAGCCTGTACTGTCTGCGCAGACAGCCCTGCTGTCTGCCAGCTTAGTTCATATTTCGCGCCATGCTGGTGCTGCCACCTAGAGGCCTTGCCACTTCAGTATGCCCAGACTTGCCTCACCCTCACTCACACAGCGGCCTAGCAGCAAGACACAAGGCCTCCCAGCTCTCTCTCGTTGGATGGCCCTGCCCGGGCCATGGGCACAAACACACAAGCCTGTGTACCCACCACGACTTAACAATAAATGAAGAAGCCTCCGAAGAAGACGTCTATCATTTAACCACCCGCTTGCAGCACCTACCAAATAAACTCGTTAAACTATTTCTGTAATACATCTTCCATTCTATCAAATGAGACCAAGAAATCGCAAATGCAACTGTAAAAAAAATACGAAAAGTCGCTGTGTTAACCCTTTGACTGTCACAACCCCCAATCCTGAGGTGTCTCCTGGTGTCGCAAAATTTAAAAAAAAAAAAATTATTTTTTCTTATGAAATGATGGAGAATCTTTTCCCGATTGTAATGACACCAAAAAAAAACCGAAATTTGATGGAAAACTGACGGAATTATGCTCTCGGTGATTTCGCCCACTTTGAGCCCTATTTTCGGCTAATTCCATTGCTCCAGTCGCCCAAACTCATAGCTATTTCTTTAGAACTCCATTTTTTCTATCGGTTGAGTACAAGAAACTGCCCATTTACCGATTTCAACTACCTAATAATGTGGTCAGAAATTTGCAATTTGGCCAATTTCACGAAAACTAAAAAATATGACATTTCAAAATAAGGCCAGAATGAACAATGCAGACATTCCTGGCTCTAAAATATCATTTTTCTTTGTTCATCAGTCCGTCTCCAGGCCCCTCTGATATTACTCTTGCTTTCTATTTTGAATTTTTATTCAAACAAAAAAATAGAAGACTTACTATTATGCAGACTACTGCAATACTGTAATAATTGTATAAATAACATCAACCCATTCATGACTGCATATTAGAATGGCTAGTTGGACATTTATTGGACAATGGCATCATTTGTTTACTTTTGAACATTGGCAAAAATCAAACATTTCCCCTACTTTGAGCTCCATTTCTAGGTTCTTTTTATAGTAAAATCAATCAAAATCACCTCTATTTTTATAATATGTTTTCCATTCTATCAAATGAGACCAAGAAAATGAGAATACAACCATAAATACTATACGAAAATAGACCACAAAATCGGCATTTTAATTAAAAAAAAAAACGGTCGGAGTTTTTTTTTTTCTCATTATGCACTGCGTGCTCCAGGATTTTTTTTTATATAGTGCACACTGACCACACAGACCCATTCTCTCACATGTGGGCCTACCAGCTTTCTCCTGCTTGATTTGAAGTCGCTAGAATTCATGAGTATATATACGTCAAACACGGTACCTCGTAAGACGTATATATACGGCCGCGACAGTCAAAGGGTTAATCGAAAATTACGGTCTCAGTTTTTTCTCATTATGCACTGTGTGCTGCAGGATTTGTTTTATGTAGTGCACACATACCACATAGATGCATTCTCTCATATCTAGGCCCAAATTTACCGCTCACAGCTTATCAGAGTGAGCTGAGCTCATGGCGTAGATCTACGGTTTGGACCCTCAACGATATAGCCATAGATCTACGTCATGGACCCTCAAAGGGTTAAAGGAAGAAGAAATACAACTACTATACAGCAAAGAAATAATACAGTACATATTAAACCAATTTAATGCATCTATGAACGAGTTTTTTTAAGCAAATAATAATACTGAGTGTAACCGAGGATCCAACCCCCGATATCCTAGCATGCCTCCCAAGCCCGCAAAATTACTGAGATGCCTTAGACCCCCAAGCCATCAATGCACCAATGATCCAGCGTTTTTAAGGCAGTCTCAGAATTTTGGCGGGCTTAGAAGGCGTGCTAAAAATATCAGCAGTTTGAATCTTGGCTAGTCGCAACATTATTATATTTGGTTTAAACCAATTCAAATACGATATCTTCAGGCACTTACCGATACTGGTATGAAGATGGCAAGAGAGTAGCCATAGATACAAAGCAGTTCAAGAAGTGATATCTTTGCCCGTGATCCTCGCCACACCAGCAGACCCCATACAGCAATTGGTATCAACCAAGCATATGCAAATATAGCAGAAGCAGCTAATGTAACTGTAGATTAAGAAAACAAACATAAAATTAGTTTACCATCTGAATGGTTTTGGGAATTATTGACCTTATAGCAACAAATAAGAAATATTAAGAAGATTACAGGAAATTAACAATGAATGTATACCGAAACTAGTAACCTGGCAAAAGTGTTAAACATTTATGAGGTTTATGCACATTTTTTTGTTATTAAATTCAGGAATAACATCAGCACAGTATCTCTACATGTAAACATGACTCAACAGGAATCAAAGGAAATAAAAAAAAAAAGCTTACGAAAAGACAAAAGTACATACAATGGTTGAAAAAGCAATATTAACTTTTTCTGCAATCATAAATAAAAAGGAGCATGCTAATTAGAGAAATGAGTGGAATAAGAATAGGTCACAAACTGCCAATACTAGATTTAGTATTACTGGGTAATAGAAAAAAATAAGAAATTCTAAAAATAAATACAATATAATGCAACTTGGAAAAAGCAATCATTTTCCATTTTAAACTACACATGTTGCTAGATATGACTTGAAGAAAAAAAAAAGAAAAGGACAAATAAGATCAAACATCAGAAAGATAAATTTGACAAGCAAAGAAAATGACTGAATGAATGATGGTGAATGTGGTTTCTCCTTGGATCGCCATGACAACCTCAAATCACCAAAAATTCAAACAAATAAAAAAAAAAAAAAATAATGTAGGAGGAAGGAAGAAACTTTGGAAAAGAAATAGCACACATGAGAAAGTCAGAACCAAGTCTTTTTAGTATGTAGAATGCAAGCCAAATGTGAAAGACAAAATAAAGAGAACTGATGGCTGTGATAAAATTATCAAACTGAAAAAGCAAATGTGAAAATACAAAGCATGAAGTACCTGTGTGCATTTACAAAAGAGGACACTAATTAGATAAAGGGACTTGCCCAAACACCCAAACTAAAGGGGAGCTCACTGAAATACCCAAAGGATTTTAAAGAAGCACTACACTGTATTTTCTATTGATTCCACCCATTTTTAAAGGGGAAATTATTCAAATAAATTTTTCCAGTGCTACACTCCCTCTTTTCACATTTTAATATCACATGATGGTCTGTTTTCCCTTTTTTCTAATTTTTACTATAGGGTTTCCCTTTCAATAATGTTTTTTTTTTTTTTTTTTTTTTTTTTTTTTTTTTGGGCTTTGTGCTTTTTTTTTGTTTTTTTTTTTTTATGCCGTTGGAGTGTAAAGCGGGGAATTTTAGTGAAGGGATTCAGGGAAACCGTTATTTTTACATAGCGACTTGAGTACTGGGAAAAAGGAAAAAACAATGCCCGGGAAATTTTAAAAAGGGGGGGTTTTGGAAAATTGGGAGTTTGGGGGGGAAGTTTTACATTTTTTTTTCAACAAAAACGGCCCGGGGTTCCAACCCAGGCAGGGCACCCAAAAAAAAGAAAGGGAAGTCGGGCTAAAAAAAAAATACTTTCTTATCATTCAACACTTTCACCTTTAACCATATAATCACTGTTTTTTTTCCCGAGGGGCTCAGAATTTCAAAAGTTTATAAACATAAGTACAAAGGGTACATAAAAATCCCTTTCCCAAAATGCTTTAAAACCCCCAACCCCTCCTTTAAAATGCAGGCACTGTACTTCCCATTTCCGGACTCAAATCTGGCCCAAATAAAAAAAAACCGGGTTTTCCCCGAATCCCCCTTTACTAAATATTTTTCCCGCTCACACCCAACGAACCCCTTTTTTGGGCCCCAAAAAACCATTCGTCCCCCATTCACTCCTATTAAAACATTCACGGTCTTCCCGGAAGTCCAAGCCCTCGCCCAAAAAAAAACCTCCTTTAAAACCCCCCCAAATCCAACCTTTGCAAGGACAACCCCCTAAACCCCCCCCTTCCTTTTTTCCCCACAGATTTATAAAGCTCCCATTTCAAATTCTACTTTGATCCTTTTCTCTAAATGACCAAAACCCCCTCCCAAAACCCCCTTTGACCCAATACTTTTATTAACTCCACACCTTCTCCAAATTTTCCCCCCCACTCCAAATTTTCTGCAAAATATTCACAACCCCACATTGCCCTTGAAAAGGACATCTCCCCTGCCTCCAAAACCCCCTCCTCGCTACAAGCATTTTTAAAAACCCCAACTTCACACCTTTACAAAAGTGTTGGTAAACAATAAAACTTTCACAATTTTTCTTCTTTGGGCCCCCATAGATAATGATTTTTGTCTCCACACATACCTCAACGCACCACTCGCCTTTTTTTCCTTCATCAATTCTATGATTAACCTCATCCTTCATAATCCATCTGCTGACACATCAACTCCCAAATATCTGAAAACATTCACATCTTCCATACTCCTCCTCCCCAATTTGATACCCAATTTTTCTTTATCTAAATCATTTGATACCCTTATCACCTTACTCTTTTCTATGTTCACTTTCAACTTTCATCCTTTACACACACTCCCAAACTCGTCTACTAACCTTTGCAATTATTCTTTAGACTCTCCCATAAGTACAGTATCATCAGCAAAAAAGTAACTGTCAATTCCCATTTTGTATTTGATTCCCCATAATTTAATCCCACCCCTCTCCCGAACACCCTAGTTGACAAATAGGCAGCAGAGAGTTTGCATAAATGGGGAGAAATCAGAGTGGGGAAGCGTCACGAGCGGTGTTCCACAGGGGTCAGTGTTGGGCCCCCTGCTGTTCACAATCTACATAAACGACATAGATGAGGGCATAAAGAGCGACATCGGCAAGTTTGCCGATGACACCAAAATAGGCCGTCGAATTCATTCTGACGAGGACATTCGAGCACTCCAGGAAGATTTGAATAGACTGATGCAGTGGTCGGAGAAGTGGCAGATGCAGTTTAATATAGACAAATGCAAAGTTCTAAATGTTGGACAGGACAATAACCATGCCACATATAAACTAAATAATGTAGATCTTAATATTACGGATTGCGAAAAAGATTTAGGAGTTCTGGTTAGCAGTAATCTGAAACCAAGACAACAGTGCATAAGTGTTCGCAATAAAGCTAATAGAATCCTTGGCTTCATATCAAGAAGCATAAATAATAGGAGTCCTCAGGTTGTTCTTCAACTCTATACATCCTTGGTTAGGCCTCATTTAGATTATGCTGCACAGTTTTGGTCACCGTATTACAGAATGGATATAAATTCTCTGGAAAATGTACAAAGGAGGATGACAAAGATGATCCCATGTATCAGAAACCTTCCCTATGAGGATAGACTAAGGGCCCTGAAACTGCACTCTCTAGAAAGACGTAGAATTAGGGGGGATATGATTGAGGTGTATAAATGGAAGACAGGAATAAATAAGGGGATGTAAATAGTGTGCTGAAAATATCTAGCCTAGACAGGACTCGCAGCAATGGTTTTAAGTTGGAAAAATTCAGATTCAGGAAGGATATAGGAAAGTACTGGTTTGGTAATAGAGTTGTGGATGAGTGGAACAAACTCCCAAGTACCGTTATAGAGGCCAGAACGTTGTGTAGCTTTAAAATAGGTTGGATAAATACATGAGTAGATGTGGGTGGGTGTGAGTTAGACCTGATAGCTTGTGCTAACAGGTCGGTTGCCGTGTTCCTCCCTTAAGTCAATGTGACCTGACCTGACTAGGTTGGGTGCATTGGCTTAAGCCGGTAGGAGACTTGGACCTGCCTCGCATGGGCCAGTAGGCCTTCTGCAGTGTTCCTTCGTTCTTATGTTCTTATGTTCTTATGTTCTTACAACCCCATCTATAAATATATTAAACAACCATGGTGACATTACACATCCCTGTCTAAGACCTACTTTTACCGGGAAGTATTCTCCCTCTCTTCTACACACCCTAACCTGAGCCTCACTATCCTCATAAAAACTCTTTACAGCATTTAGTAACTTACCACCTATTCCATATACTTGTAACATCTGCCACATTGCTCCCCTATCCACTCTATCATATGCCTTTTCTAAATCCATAAATGCAATAAACACTTCCCTACCTTTATCTAAATAATGTTCACATATATGCTTCAATGTAAACACTTGATCTACACATCCCCTACCCACTCTAAAACCTCCTAAACTGTTGAATCTGGCCACCCCTGAAAAACAGTGATTATGTATGAGTGAGGTGAAAGTGTTGAATGATGATGAAAGTATTTTCTTTTTGGGGATTTTCTTTCTTTTTGGTCACCCTGCCTCAGTGGGAGAATAATAATAATAATCAGTTTCACATCTAATGGGCTTAATCTATCAACTTTCTCAAGTGTATGTGCTTGCATCAGGCAATCCATTATTCTCCCACACTCTTGTTCTCACTGCATACAAGTTGCAATTTCATTACAGAATTCCTAAAGTCAGTGAGGGACTCAATCTAAGGAATTGAACTTGTGTTCCAATTCCTTGAACTGAGCCAGAATGCCTTCCAATCCCCCAAGCATTTTTACTTCCTGGATATGATGTAAAGGCAACAAGGCATAACCTAAACAGAAACACAAAGAATGCTCCTTACCTTTACGAAACTCATATCTCCAGATATATGTCTCTGCTGGTGAAGCAGCCAAATAATTTGCAAGGTTACCAGTAATGGCTGTAGTAAAGGCCAGAGTTGTGCAAATCCAGAATGGGCCTGAAATAAGAGGTGAATACCATAAAGAAACTATGGTATTTAGATGTAGTTCTAACAAATTATGCAGCTATAAGCTTTAACAAAAATTACAATTAAACTTTCCAGTCTTGAAACAGCAAACAACATACACCCCTTTACAAGCTGATCAGAATAGCAAATATTAAATTCATTGTTAAGACATTCAAGTCTGGTTAGCCAGACTTGAGTCCTGGAGGTGGAAAGTATATAGTGCCTGCACTCTGAAGGAGGAGTGGGGTTATCTGCAGTTTGGAGGGGCCTCTGAACTGCAGTACTGGCATGCCTCTAGCAAGACAGTGACAGTACAAGTGATGGTGAAAGCATTTCTTTGTTTTCAAGTCACCCTGCCTTGGTGGGAAACATCCGGTGTGTTTAAAAAGAAAAAGTACAAGTGATTTGATAGTTATCATTTTCCAACCGGTCATTTTCTTGGCCTTTCACACAACTGTTTTATTTTGTACTCTAAATAATAGGTCACTGAATGTGCAAGCTCATTTGTCACTATTTGTTTGTTTGTCTCAGGAGTAGCAAGGATCCACACATCTCGTGAGAATTGTTACAAAAGGTTACCGAGTAAGGAATGAAGTCACACTAATCAAAACTTTCCCTAATATAAACAACACTTAGTTCATAAGTAAAATCACAACAAGCAAACTTTCGCTATGAGGGAGACAACTACTTGGAAAAATCATGAAAAAATATGAATGTGTAGTTGACATTGTATATACTGTATTACAAATGTATTGTAAAACTGAACCTTTTAAATTGTGGGGGTTAAGTTCTGGATTTGATTTAAATCCTGAAAACACACATGTACAATGCAAAATTTTGCATGTCCAAATTATTTAAATGTTTTTGGCTCTCTCTCTTTATTTGAATGAAAATCTATGGTTATTTTTTTGTTTAGAGATTGTATATAAAGAAAAAAAATAACAAAGGACACAAAGAAACAAGAATAATCACAGCTATTTGCTAAATGGCCTACAGTAAAATCACTGTACAGTAGAAACCACATGGATTACAAAGCACATGAATTCTGGGGTTAAGCTGTACAGCAAAATGCCTTGTTAATATGGTAAAATACCAATGAATATACTGCTTTTATTCAGACTTACCATAAAGATCAGGATTTGGTCGAATATATGACTGCAAGTAACTGACACCTGGCTTGGGAACCATTGACCATAAAATTCTATCTCCAACTTGTTTACTTTCAACATCAAAAAACTGCTGGTAAAAATCAAACGTCCAGAAAGATGCACCTGACTTCAGACCTGCCGGTTCTCCACTCTCATTATCACCCATGAGCTGCAAAATGTAAACTTAAATAATACACAGGATATCAGGTTGTGAAAATAATTATACATGTATACTCATACAGTATATTAAAAAAATAAATACAAATTTAAAGAATTCTTTGAAACCATACTACAAGTTCAATACATCAATAACAATTATATTAACCCTTTGACTGTCGCGGCCATATATATATATACGTTTACGAGGTACCGTGTTTGACGTATATATACTCATAAATTCTAGCGGCTTCAAATCAGGCAGGAGAAAGCTGGTAGGCCCACATGTGAGAGAATGGGTCTGTGTGGTCAGTGTGCACCATATAAAAAAAATCCTGGAGCACGCAGTGCATAATGAGAAAAAAAAAACTCCGACCGTTTTTTTTTAATTAAAATGCCGACTTTGTGGTCTATTTTTGTATAGTATTTGTGGTTGTATTCTCGCTTTCTTGGTCTCATTTGATAGAATGGAAACTATATTATAGAAATAGAGGTGATTTTGATTTATTTTACTATAAAAAGAACCTGGAAATGGAGCACAAAGTACGGGAAATGTTTGATTTTTGCCGATGTTCAAAAGTAAACAAATGATGTCATTGTCCAATAATGTCCAAATAGCCATTCTAATATGCAGTCATGAATGGGTTGATGTAATTTTTACAATTATTACAGTATTGCAGTAGTCTGCATAACAGTAAATCTTCTATTTTTTGTTTGAATAAAATTTCAAAATAAAAAGCAAGAGTAATATCACAGGGGCCTGGAGACATGACTGATGAACAAAGAAAATGTTATTTTAGAGCCAGGAAAGTCTGCATATTGTCATATTTTTTAATTTTCGTGAAATTGGCCAAATTGCAAATTTCTGACCATGTTATTGGGTAGTTGAAATCGGTAAATGGGCAGTTTCTTGTACTCAATCGATGGAAAAAATGGAGTTCTGAAGAAATAGCTATGAGTTTGGTTGACTGGAATAATGGAATTAGCCGAAAATAGGGCTCAAAGTGGGCGAAATCGCCGATTTGTAAATATCGCCGAGGTCGCTAACTTCGCGAGAGCGTAATTCCGTCAGTTTTCCATCAAATTTTGTTTTTTTTGGTGTCTTTACAATCGGGAAAAGATTCTCTATCATTTCATAAGAAAATATAATTTTTTTTTTTTAAATTTTGCGACACCAGAAGACACCTCAGGATTGGGGGTTGCGACAGTCAAAGGGTTAAATAATTACAGTGGGTAGGGGATGTGTAGATCAAGCGTTTACATTGAAGCATATATGTGAACAGTATTTAGATAAAGGTAGAGAAGTTTTTATTGCATTTATGGATTTAGAAAAGGCATATGATAGAGTGGATAGGGAAGCAATGTGGCAGATGTTGCAAGTACAGTGGACCCCCGGTTTACGATCAGCTCCCAATACGACCAATTATGTAAGTGTATTTATGTAAGTGCATTTGCATGTGTATGTTTGGGGGTCTGAAATGGACTATTCTAATTCACAATATTCCTTATGGGAACAAATTCGGTCAGTACTGGCACCTGGCATACTTCTGGAATGAAATAATATCGTAAACCGGGAGTCCACTGTATGTGGAATAGGTGGTAAGTTACTAAATGCTGTAAAGTTTTTATGAGGATAGTGAGGCTCAGGTTAGGGTGTGTAGAAGAGAGGGAGACTACTTCCCAGTAAAAGTAGGTCCTAGACAGGGATGTGTAATGTCACCATGGTTGTTTAATATCTTTATAGATGGGGTTGTAAAAGAAGTAAATGCTAGGGTTTTTAGGAGAGGGATGGGATTAAATTATGGGGAATTAAATACAAAATGGGAATTGACACAGCTGCTTTTTGCTGATGATACTGTGCTTATGGGAGATTCTAAAGAAAAATTGCAAAGGTTAGTGGATGAGTTTGGGAGTGTGTGTAAAGGTAGAAAGTTGAAAGTGAACATAGAAAAGAGTAAGGTGATGAGGGTATCAAATGATTTAGATAAAGAAAAATTGGATATTAAATTGGGGAGGAGGAGTATGGAAGAAGTGAATGTTTTCAGATACTTGGGAGCTGACGTGTCGGCGGATGGATTTATGAAGGATAAGGTTAATCATAGAACTGATGAGGGAAAAAAGGTGAGTGGTGCATTGAGGTATATGTGGAGACAAAAAACGTTATTGATGGAGGCAAAGAAGGGAATGTATGAAAGTATAGTAGTACCAACACTCTTATATGGGTGTGAAGCTTGGTTGTGAATGCAGCAGCGAGGAGGCGGTTTGGAGGCAGTGGAGATGTCCTGTCAAAGGGGCAACGTGTGGGGGAAAATATTATGCAGAAAATTCGGAGTGGAAATCAGAAGGTGTGGAGTTAAAAAAGTTTTATTTTAGAGGGCTGAAGAGGGGTTGTTGAGGTGGTTTGGTCATTTAGAGAGAATGGATCAAAGTAGAATGACAGGGAGAGCGTATAAATCGAAGGGAAGGAAGGTGGGGTAGGGGTCATCCTCAAAAAGGTTGAAGGAAGGGGTAAGGGAGGTTTTGTGGGCGAGGGCTTGGACTTCTAGCAGGCATGCATGAGCGTGTTCGATAGGAGTGAATGGAGATGAATGGTTTTTGGGAAACCTGACGATCGTTGGAGTGTGAGCAGGTAATATTTAGTGAAGGGATTCAGGGAAACCGGTTGTTTTTGTATAGCCGGCCCTTGAGTCCTGGAAGTGGGAAGTACGGTGCCTGCACTCTAAAGGAGGGATTGGGGATATTAGCAGTTTGGAGGGATATTTTGTGTATCTTATACATATATGCATATATACATAACATATATGCATATATGCATATATACATATACATATACATATATGCATATACATACATGCATATACATATCATATACATATATGCATATATACATATACATATATGCATATATGCTGTTGCGTTCTGAGCACCTCTGCAAAAACAGTGATTATGTGTGAGTGAGGTGAAAGTGTTGAATGATGATGAAAGTATTTTCTTTTTGGGGATTTTCTTTCTTTTTGGGTCATCCTGCCTCAGTGGGAGACAGCCGACTTGTTAAAAAAAAAAAATTACAGATGTTCCCTTTATTCTTAATAGCCAGAACCAAGATATAGACACAAACTATAAACATTTTATAGTTGGAGGTATTACAGTACAACAATGTACTGTTAATACCTCAATATTAGTATTTAAAATAGATAAGGAAACAGATAATACTACAGTGCAAAAAAATAACTTGCCAAACTGCATCCAGCATACACTATTAAGTCATTAATACCTTGTTTACCTTAGTAACAACCCTCCAAGGCAGTAACTATGAGAAAAGTTTCTAGATTACTCATGTTAATCATATATAAGTACATATTGGCACAATTACAACCAACTACTCTAAGAACAAAATTACAGCATTAAAATTACATCATATACTGTAGCATAAATTAAACAGAAAAAAAAAATCACTTAATAATTACTAGACTTCAGCATCAACCAGGGTCAACCATAGGACTCATGTCACAAGCTTCCTAAGTACTGTATGTATGCAGGGTTTTAATTCCTTCAATTACCAAACAGTATACATAAGAACATAAGAAAGAAGGAACACTGCAGCAGGCCTACTGGCCCATGCGAGGGAGGTCCAAGTCGCCTACTGGCTTATGCCACTGACCCAGCCTAGTTAGGTAATGCAGCTGTTTCCTTATTACAACAAATATGGACCAATATAAAAGCCCCATAAAACAATAGCACTATCACATAAAATAACAACTACTAGCCTACCTTTCTAATTAAGATTACTAAATAAAATTCATAGATTCCATAGTGAATCAATAAGTCACAGAAATAAGACATTAAATTCCCCCAAGAAATGGCCAACACTCAAAAAATTAACTTAAGGTATGAACATCCTAAAAACTTTATATTTTACCAGTCTACCATTCATTCAGACCTTACTTAGTTTTTATCACCTAATGATATTCAACAATTCATCCTTTTTGCTCACCCTCTTTAGTGTTTCAAACTACCTTAGCAATTAGTTTTAAAATTTTCAGCTTAAAATTCTATTATACCTGGTAAAAGTTTTGAATAACATTTAATCAGGTTTGCTAAAATGGAGG